TAATTTGCGTTCAAAATACAAATTCAATTTAATTTAGTATATATTTTTTATACGAATTTTAGTATCAAATTTTGACAAGTTTTAGTGAAAAATAATGTTAAAACGAATCTAATTACTGGTTCTTAAAAATTGTTATAATATTTATTTTACTGTAATGTCGCATATATTATATTGTTGTAAAAGCATAATTACAAACCGAGTTCCGCTCGGAATCGTATTTCGTTAGCAATGAAGAACGTCCGTTTGTTTTTTATTAGTTATCATTGATAGTTATGGTAAAACCTTTAAATTGTTTTAAAAAAATAACGAAAAGCCTTTTCTTTTAACTTCACTTACATTTAATAATTATTCACAAATTACGGGTTACGTACAATAAGTATTACTTTTAAAATTTAAACAACATAATATAGTTAGTATAGACGTTATAACAACGAAGTGTTTGGCGATTATCGTATCTTTATATAGATGTATGCAATTTAATCACTTAGCAGTGATAATAGTTTGGAAAAAAACTTAAATATTATTTTCATTTTAAAATATAACACTTAAGGCCACAAGCACTTAATGCTATTAAAATATTACCTACTAATTTTTAAAAAAGAAAAAATAAGGAAGTCTATTCCCTATATACCCCCATCGTAATTGCGCAACGCGTTACTACATAATTTTAGCGAATGATCGTCGAATTGTCACTGTGATACATTATATACTTTCCGGAGTTTTGTTGAACTACTGATGAAAATATAATATCGATAAAAATATTATACTTTTATGTAAGATTTTAAAATAAAAAAAAAAAAAAAAATTTAAAACAATATTTTAGTTCGCGAAATTGTATTAAATAAGTTTTTTACATTGTTTCCCCCTCCCGTCCGTTTTCGTTTTGCTTTTATAGTTGTTTTCTTTTTTTTTATCGTTTCCATATACATACTTTATTATTCAATTTATTCTCGCTTCGTCAACTTTTCCTTTATAGTTTACATTTTAATAAATGTGTAACAATAGGCACTGGAATTTATAAGTTTGATGGGTTATTATCACTGCGGTTGTGATCTATTCTGTGACTATATATGCACATTTTCTGATGGTAATAATCTCTTGCGTATATCTTAACAATAAGTAGCACGTGATAGTGAAACTTACATTTTTTTTTCTTAGGGATAGAAAAGGTGTTGAAGTTCATGACACCTAGAACACTTGTTTCGATTTTTAAAATCTAACACCTATGTTCACTGATGTAGATAAGTGAATTTTTGGGAAGTTAATATATATAAGAAAATTAGTCGTGTACCTATATTGTATGAGATGATAAATCTTTGCATGTGAAAAACGATTCTGAGCGGAGTAGTATGAGTCGTGTAATTTCCTTTGTTGCCAAAATAATCCAGAAATTAAAATAACAAAATACTTAGTGGGTGAACTGCTTAAAATATTTTTGAACACCTACAAATTGGTTTTTAATTACTGAATTGGTTCCCGAGTAGTCAAATCGGTTTTAATGTATTTTCACTTATATAATGAAACATAAACCACCGTTACAATTCAACAATAATCTTTTTTTTCGTTTTACACAAACTTAGGACTGTCTTAAACGTAAAACTATTATCTACCATACAGAGGTTTTTATTTTTTTTTCACAGGAGCGGTTAGTTGTCAAAAACTAATATCTGAGCATAGCAATAGAATAGCAGGGAGAAACGAATTTATCTAATTAGATTATATAATAGTATTTATATAAGTTATTTAACTTTCCCAATCAGAGTAAAAACTTAATTAAATATTTACATTACGAGAACGATCTATGTTTCCCCATAAAACTTAATATTTAAACTCTATTTTTGGGTAAATGAACTATTACCGTACATTTTATTTTGACCCGGGAACCAATTCCGTAGTCACCATTCTGATAAATGGTTCGAAGAAAGTACCATCTAGAAATTAGCTTCAGTCTTTTGACTCACTGAGATACCACTAAAAAAAAATTTGAACATAAGTCCAACCAAAAGAGTGTTTTCAAAAAAAACGTTTTGAAAAGTAATTTTTTCAAAAAAATATTCAGCACTTGGAAAAAAATATATATTCAATTAAAGTACATACCATAAAGTGAAAAATCTTTTGGAAGTATGGCGTAAACATCTATGTAAAACATCTTAGCTTCTTCGTCTTATACTCAGAATCTAATAAAATTTAATTTCGTTGAATATAATCGTATTATTATTTGTAATACAACGTTTTAATAAGAAAATACCTTTATATTATATTCGATTTCGTAGAGCATTGCCATACTTCAAATTCAAATACGATTGAGTTTTGAACGAAAAACAAACATTTTATTAAATTCATATAATATAAATGGCGAGGTGTGTGTGTGTGTGTGTGTGTGTAATACAACTACTATATTTGTTTTTACAAAATGCAGTGTGTATTAATATTATAGTTTATTAGATCGCAGGGTACTCGGGGAAATAAGATTATGGACGAGATAAAAATGGATCGACGAAAACGAAAGAATTGGCCGGGGGAGAGACATTTGTTAGGGACGAGGATATAAAGAGCCTGGTCGTATAGTACTGCTGTATTTACTCTTGTTAAGTGTATAGTGTTTTGCTGTGGCGCGTAGACTTAAATAAATTGAATTACGCGGAAAGAATAAGAATATAAGAAAGAATACTATACGCGCGTATAATATGTGAGTGCGCGCATCGGGGAAAAGTGCGAGTGATACCAATTATTGAAAAATGAGATGTGACAGTTTGGACGCGAAAAGAATGTGGTGGTGAGAGGAGGGGGAATGAAAGGAGTGAAATCTGCGGTAGGTATAGTACTATAATATTATATATATAATAAGAATCTTGGACGTTGAAAAATTGGTTTCGATTGAAAACCGACAAAATAAATAGAGGTAGATAAATAATAATAATAATAAAAAGTGTAGGTACCTACAGAGTTCAGTATAATATATAATATAGGGTGTTCGGGTGTTGGACTGCACTCATTTCACTTTGCTCGCATCATCGCAAGCCAGTATCTAATATTAATCATCATATTATGTTGTTACAAGTTTGAATGTAACGATATGATAAATGATGGGAAATAATTCTGAGCAGAATTTTTGGTTAATATCATGTGTTTTTTTTTTTATTATTATTTTTGAGTGCATCGGGCTAATGATTTAAATACATTTTTTCAAAAAACAACAGTATATTCTCGAAAGGATAATGATGATGTGCCATAGTTCTCAAAATGTTTATATTAACTCACTTGCATATTTTGAACTCTACGAATAGTGAATGTATAATTTATTGAACAAATTTAAATTTGGAAAGTCAATTAAAAATGATATATATATTATTATTATAAAATTCAATAACCACTGCGACAGTGTATGTTTTGAAATCGCTTCGTTCGGCGTAACAATTATGCGGACAGTAAAATTATGGATAGCCCACTTATATAATGTCAAACTCAAGAAGAAGCAGTTACGAGTGGTGGTAAGAGAAAGACATGCACCTCAGGTTGGCACTGGAAATATTCACAAAAGCCGTATATGTTAAATATATTTTGTTAAGTATTCACCAGATGTTGATAGGCAATTTTCAGAATTTTTTATTTTTTTTTTTTATTTCAGAAACAAATATGAGAAAATCTGCCACCATTATAGGGTATGTCATTATCATCCCTTATTTTAACTCTATAAAACGGACTTATCATTAATATTAATTCCACTGCGATAAGTTCTCATTATGTGGCTTATCAGTTCTCATACTATGGACACAATGGATATAACATCTGCAAATAAAAATGTATAACATCACGTCAACTAACTGTTCAAAACTCTTGAAAATAATATTATCAGTACTATGAATGCACGTGGTTAATTTGCTTTCAACTGAAATAAAATGTACCGAAACACACTAGTAATAGTTCTTGTGAATGGGTTGTATTTAATAATAATAACCTTCTAAATAGTTTTACCGAAATTTACCGATTTCTAATGTCGATAAGATAAAGATAAGTCAAGCTTAAACACAAAACCGTTAAATAAACTTTAATTTAGAAAGATTACTCGATTTGGGTAATTGAATTTACTATATAGGTAACATTGTTTCGTTTCACTTTTATAATTAGGTTATTATGTTCCCGTGTGTAGGCTCAGTATTCGAAATTTGGTCTTGCGGAAAACATGTTTCGTAACTTGGAGATTTAGTTTTCAACCAATAATAATTATTTAAGTACCCGTACATTTTTGGAAAAATTGTTAATATTTCCAATATATTGTACGATTAAATTATTATCGAGTTGACAAATATTTAATTATTGAAATACTAGCCGATTTACAATATATGACAACTTAAATAGTATAATCGGCACATTAATTTTGAATCTATTTGATATTTCCAAAATATGACGTATGTAGCTTTTATTAGGTATCAAATCAACGGAAACATTATTGTTGTTATTATTATATTCACTAATGACTTCATGATCCTAATCTAAAAAAAAAAGGATTGAGACTCCATCCTTTGGCAGTGATGGTTTTGGAGGAGATTAGAGGGAGTGGGTCCCAAGATTATTGTCCTAACGTCTATGTTAAAAAATAAGTACAGTGAAACCTCTGAATAGCGGACACTCTCGGTCGCCGAAATTTTGTCCGCTATTTAGAGGAAAACATGTTTTTTAACAAATAAATAAATTCAATAATTTTATTTTATATTATTTTTACATTAATTGAATACACGATAAAACTAACATTTATGAAAAAAAAAACAGTTACCTAAATTTTTCTTTTATTTTTACATTAATTAAATATATACATCTTAAAAATACATACATCATTTCTGAAAAAAATCTGTTACTTTAGTTTGTTTACTAATTGCAGGCGTAGTTATTTCGTATGTTAAGGCATTTTCTAATTGGACTGTGTTTGAGAACAATGAACTATTCTGTACCTCGATAGAAGAAATATATTTACGTATGTCTTTTACTGCTAGCAATGCCTCTCATAGACTTCTTATTTTTGGAATTTCTTGATCTTCGGACCCATCATTTTCTTCATCACTTTCTTCTTCATTTTGTGTAGATATGCTCGTAGTATCAGATGAATTTTCGATATCGGCGTCGTAAGTCTCCACGCAATCGTCTAGTGTTATGTAGTCAGTTTCCGTAATTGTATTGTCAATCACTTTAATAAGATTGCCAAGTTCTTCTATTGGTGTAAGTAGATCATCTACTATCTAATATATTTCGAAAAACCTCGATGATAAACGTTTAGCTAAATATGTTATGTAAATAAATAATTTATATTTGTACGCGGTGTGTTCAAAAGTTCCAGAACTGTTTGAATTGATCGTCAACGGAGCGTCCAATAGAACAGTAGAATTGATATCATCACTGGATTCTGTAACTTCTTTGGATTATATCTGTATTTTTAGATTTTCTATAACTTTCAATGTTTTGATGTGACCGATATTTTCTTAAATATTTATTTTTTTTGCATTAGGCGATTTTGTAATAAATCCAAAAGAAGTGCTTTTTTTGGGGGGAGGGGGAGGGAGCTGAGGGAGATTGCTGGAAAAGATTTTTATTTTATTTTGATTATAACGTAATGATACAGGTAATGATTATTATAATGATAAATTTTCAAAAAGTTTTATTGTCATTTACTATACTAAAAAGTTCCTGATAAACCTGAACTTGGACTTTCTTCCATATTCTCGAGTAAAACTTTAATTTATGCCTACAGTTTTTTTAATCTTACTGCTTTTTTGGACGCTCCGTTGGTGAGCAATACATAAAGTTCTGAAACTTTTTGAACACAACTCGTATATTATTATTATAAAAATATAATAATAGTATTTTACTATATACTTTATATTATTATTACTATATTATTTAAATTAACAATAAATCTATCTATATCATCTTGTAATTTAAAATTTAACAGACGTGTGACAGCGATAAACTGGTGTAAGATTGCAAATATCGATTATCTTATCGCCAATAATTAGATGTTTTAGATTTACTAGGTGAATAATCGCATTGGCGTTTACAACATTACTAATCTTACAGTTTTGTATGTATAAATATATTAGAATTTTATTTTTAAATGATCCGTACTTTTTAAGCACTTTAATATAGTAGAATAGTTTTTTTTTTTTTTATTATTATTTTTATTGTATTTAATACTATTATGGAAAACTCTGGGACCCCCTCCGAAGAAAAAAAAATCCTAGATCCATCAATACCTTCGAATATTTGTTCAAAAGTAGACAAACCCTAACGAATTTAACATTTAAAAATGAAGTCAACAGCTCGCGAACCCATTCTGAAGTTTGATTTCCATTTAAGGCCTTGGTCGAGGAAAATATAATGATATAGGTTACGGTGGAGAGTTGTATAGCCGATCACACAAGCGTGGGATAAAACGAAAAAGAAAAAAAGAAGTGGTACGGTCTCGGACTAAAGACAATGAAAACTTTGCGTGATCGAGAGAACTAAGGAGAATATTTCCAAAGATTTTTTTACGTGAATAATAAAATACGATACGAATTACACCACAGGTCCTCGACGACACGCCATCTTGTCGATAGGTATATAATGTCGAACAGAATTCAATTATTATTTAAATTCATATACCTATCTGGTCTGTATATTTTTTTTTTATTATATTGAATCGTTTTTCGTTTTGCGGGTTATTTGAAAATCACCGGGTGGTAAAAAAAAGCCCTCGTGAGCACCAGAACTCCGACACTAGAGTCGAATTTCTATCCATCCCCCGATTTTGTGTTTTAGAATTAATGTTGTTTGTGAAACAATAAATAACTGAATACTATAATAATACAATACTATTATACATATACATTATTTCACATATTATTATATACTGTACCTACTTTCAAAAACTGTGTAATTTAATTCTAAAATCGTTAGGGGAGAAGTTTAGAGTTTAATCCCCTAAAGGCACATCCTTGGTACTAAAACATCATGCTTATAGAAAATTTCATTCCTGTGGAACTATTTAGAGGCTCTGTTCGGATATTCAAGCTGAACAAATGACCTCCTCCTGCAACAATGGTAAAAATTCTTATTGAAATTTGACTCGACTTTTATCACTTCGATTTGCCTATAAAACAACCCGAAATCTCGAGGAGCTTTTTACTGACCTAGTGAAACCGCTAAAGGTGTCCAGAAAATAACAGGAAAATACATATACGCGATTATTTAACATTCAAGTACAGCGCAATAGTAGTATCTATTTTCGAGGAAAATTCGACAGAATCCGGCATAAAGCTGAGGTATTACGTTGTATACATATATATATATATATATATATATATATATCATTCTTCTGACGAAAAAAAATTCAACAAAATCGGTTTTGTTATATTTCCAGTTATGATAAAACAATATAAATAACCGACCATTTATTCAACGTTTCAGATTTATTTGGCGTGCGATACGGATTTGCTCGTAAAGTATATATGATGCATATTGTATATACATAAAAAAAAATATACATAACTGATACTGGGCACGGGTGTGCCACTGTTGTAGGTGGGAAGTTGGGAACGTTATAGGATACATAAAGTTATTTAATTTATAACTGTAAGCAATATATAAAACATTTAAACCATTTTAAATCACATATAAACCGTTGCTAACAAAAAACAATTTGGAGTGTAGTTCGGTTATAAATGTTTTAAAAGGCTGTAATATTTGTCGTTATTCCGATAATTTTTTTCCTCGTTTTTCTCAACTGTTATGAAAACCCCTTGAAAGATCAAAAAATAACCTTCTCATCAATGCATCAATGTAAAAACTAGAATAAAACTTTCAGTAAATATTCTACATTTGATAAATTGGAGCAAGATTCACGGTAGAAATATTAAAAACACAATAAAAAACCCTAACGCTCCGAATCTTAAGAAAAAAAACATATCTAATAGATACTAAAAATATCATAACGGGTGTGGCGTGTGTTTCTGTTTAAATATACTTGACGATTTTGACGGGCGTTTTGAAAATATTTAACAATTTTAAAACTCACGAAAAAATTTCCCTCTTTTGCACTCGTACGTATACTCTGAATTTTATTATTTTTCCCTCATAAACTCGTATATTAGGTATTGCACATTCGTAGATACTATTATATTTTTTCGAATTAAAAAAATACCAGGTCATGTTATATAATATTATATTGTAGTGAGCCGGACCTGGGTATTACGATTCAAAACTAATATACGAGTATACTGACGAAATATCACTTGAGACTGACAACTCTTCAAAGGTCGTTGAAGTTTTAAATAAAAAAATAATAATAAAAACACTTAATAATTAACTTATATCTTTATAAATTTAATTAATTTGCTGAAACCTAGCACTCCGGCAAATCGTTAAAATGTAATGAGCAATTCCAACGGTCGATCCATTTACGTTCTAAGTTTAGATTAGATCTTGTTTTTCATAGTGACCAGTACGTTTATATTATATATTTAAAATAAATATAGAGGGCTCGGCCGCACCCGGATAAAATAGAAGAGTTGCGACAAAATCATGCATTTTTCGAACCAACCTTTATTAGTTTAATTGCCATTTCGAGTGGCAACCGTAAATCTGCAAATACCTAGACGTTCTTGGAAAAGGTTGGTTGGATCTCAAAAATACTGTAAATCTAAATTATAAACTCTCGTGCCCAGAAAACGACTATAGTGCTACAGTCGTGGGCAATAAAATACCACAAATAGACATTCTGTTAATACACGGGGATTCCGATAGGAGATTGAAATTTAGTAAAACAGGGTGAAACTAAAGTCAGTCACTGTGGACAAAGTGGATCACTGTGTTACTTTTTATATTCTAGCTGACCGGTTTATTTAATAATAAACTTTTTTATGGTTTATCCAAGAGAGAAGTAACACGTAATTAAAGCCCTTCTATAATGAATAGGTTGTAATATTTAATAACACAACGGTCAAGATTCCGTTGCACATTGGATTTTATTTCGGGGTCATGAAGTCAGCCCTCCTCCCACTTTATCTGTTCAGCTCCAAACCATCGTCAATATTTAGCAAATTAAATCTTGCCGTTTCAAGACTATGATACATTATTCAAAATGAATAATATTCGATTCGTGTAAACGACCTATGTGGAATTTTATTTTATATTTTTAGGATTTCGTATTACGATTTAAGAAGTGCTATACTTATACTCTTGGCGAGGTGTTTTTACCCGAAACAATTTTTTTAAATTTTTATTCAGATTTATTTATGGTGTTTATTTTTTCAGTGTATTTTTTGTTAATATTGATAACAATTATATTATAATATAGATGCAAGGTACTGTTGTCGTTTTAGAAAACAAAAAGACCTATGAAATTCTGACAATTTCGTTAAAATATGCGTAATTCAAATCAAGTGTAAAATCCGCAATTTTTAGAATAGAACATCGAATATCAGAGAATTTTTACTAACGAAAAAAGAGAAAAGTTTTCCGAGAAAAATACACACACATATAGACATAGTAGTAGAACTAATAGCTTATTCGCTACACTCAAAGTCTTAAAAAAGGTAGCTTCTAAGTCAATACTGACGTACCGTGAAACGGTGTAAATAGGTAAATAAAATAACCACTCAAAGTCGAAACGGAATATTTTGTGTCTTTAGCTTTTCAATATATTATACTCTAATATCGAAACTTGTACGTAGATACTATCAAAAGAATAATCGATTTGGATTTTTTGTGCAAATTACAGTTTCTATTTCTTACTACCTGACAATGTGCATATTACAAATATTGCATATATTTAGAGTACATTTTTATGCAATTGACTACACTCTCAGTGATACGCTCAATCGGCATTCGACCGGTTTTTACCGATTGTAATGAAAATCCACCATACTGGCGTATTTCGCCTTTGTCAACCTTTTATTCAACGTTTGAATAACAATTTCGTATAGACCAATCTGCCGGAATTCTGTTTCTCGGCCACGGTTAAAGCAAATCGGAAAATTGAAATCATCGTCGAATCTTCCTGAAATAGACGTAATAATTTATATCGGTCCGCGGGCGAAAAAGACAAGAGTACGCGGAATACGCTGGAGTCGTCCTACAAAGAGCTGAAATTCGATTTTTTTTTTGCCCTTGCTAAACCCGACGGTCCGTGACGTGATCAAAGAATCGACGCGAAGAATATGGAACAATATAACGCGCCGTGCTTTCGGTCACGGCCGCTATATTATATGCAAAACGCCTGACGAAAACCCGCACGTAGACCCAATTTATCTGCTTTTTAGTGTATATGTTTGGTCATCCGACCGTACCTCGAATTGACCTTTTCTGTTTTTCTCGCGCACGTAGGTATATTATCCGGTATACCTACGTATAATACGTACTCGTAATAATAATATATTATTATAATAAACACGCGTATATATTTTCGATTCATAGGGTAGGTATAACACGGGTATATGATATATTATGTACATAAAAAACGAATGAAAAAAAATAATGCGAATCTCCGCGTTTTGCGGCCATCGTCGCGCCCCATCCGTCCGTCGGAATATTAAAATACGCGAACCCTGCGGGGGCCGAGTTCGTCACCCCCGCCGCCGCCGAAACAATTAAATTGAAAAGAAATTTGTTTTTCAAAAATACGGAACGTGTAACAAGCGGAGTCGTTTTAATAATATTATGTAAGGTGTACCTGCAGAA